AGTAAAATAGATACATGATATTAATCGATTCTTTAAATTAGATTGATAAAAGGTTTAAATAAAAATCATATTTTGATAAAAGTTGACGAAAAAAATAATACTAAAAAGGGAGGAATAAGCACAATATGTACATTAGAAGTATATGCAAGGAAATAGTCTCCCCAAACACTAGGATGATACGAGACGGAGCGACGAGTTTGTTCATTGCCAAAATTTTTGGTGGTAATTGGAGCAGCCGATGCAGGGATTTGAATATCCATATTTCTATATTACACTTTTAGAACTTAGATAGGAAATACAATTATTGTTTCTTATCTAAATAGGGTTCTTTTGATGGGTATTTATAGTTCTATATCACGTAAGGCGAAAACTGAGATTTTGCAATTTTTAATTTGAAAGGTCACCAACTTTTATCATTATTGAAAAAGTCCAAATCCACTGTCTTGTGTACCTTCCTCATATTTTATAAATTGCAAGGGTATATTGGACATTTATTCAGTTATAATAATAAATTCAAATAAATAAATTTGTAAATGAATTCTATTTGCTTCCTATTATCCAAGAAGATAAAGTCAAAACAAACTGCAATGAAACTTCAGATATTATATTTAAACCTTAGGCGTACAAAGTATAGGCCACACAATATTTATCACTATAATGTTATTGAATAATTTGTTTTTATGAAGACAAAATACCTTTATAAAGTGAAGTATCAGGGACCACACAATATTTACCATCACTATAACCTTTTTTTTTTCACGTGACAAAATCTGGGTTGCTGAAGTGGGGTATCAGGGACCACACATTCGATTGATTGCTATCGGTAAGTGCAGGAAAAAGAACAGCAAATCAGCTCTACAACCAACATTTGTGGTTGCTGAATGGGCCAAAGTTCCAATGACCATACAATAGTCGCTGGCTATAAGTTTTTCAGCAACCAACATCGTTTGATCGTTGACATCTCTGGCTAGAGGTGTCAATCCAGGTCGGCCTGTTCGGGTCGACCCGCCAACATATGAGCCCGATAACGGTCCGCGTGAAAAAAAGCCCGCCCGCTACGGGTTCCCGGCCGGCCCACAAATTTTGGACTACAACCCAGGTCCACCCGCTGACCCATCCGGGTCGAGCCCATACGGGTCGCGGGATGTTCCAATAATTATTTAGAATGATAGTAAATTTTTTTTTTATTAAATGTAAATTAAGATTTGAAAAAAATGATAAATTAATATTTAA